TATATTAACAATTACTTGACAATAAAAACACTGTGGTTAATTATGCAAATCAATATACCAACATTAAAGATGATTAGCACAGTATTCATGCTCTTTCATAACTAGATTTTGTGTTATATGCCCTAAAGAGAAAATTGTGTCTCTGCAAGTCGTCTAAGAGTCTTCAGTGAAATCATAGATACTGTAAATAACTATTTTAATCAAAACGTATTAAATAATCAATTTATGCAGATATTAGTACTTGTAAATATTAATTTCATGCAGAATGGTATTGATAAAAGTAGGTAAGTAATGACAATGGAAAAGATGTTCGCTCCTGAACTCAAACCTGAAAGAATTTTATCCAATATGCCTTTTATCTTGACGGATATTTAAATATATACATCTATTTGTTAGCAAGAGCTGTAGGACACTATAGTTTGTCTTTTTTTTTTATTGTGGACGTTGTGCTTGTTCCTGTTGGAACAGAGTAGATTGATCCTGAGGTTCTGGTGCCTATCCACTTTTGGCCACCCCTCAGTATACATTGGTTATTGCCTGGCCACCCTTATAAAAATTTTCTGGCTACGCTTCTGAGCTCACTTAGCTGATTGCGCTTTCCCGTGTTTCAAAAAAGGCAACGGCAAAAGTAAATAACTCAGTCCTTCTTTTCACTGTAGACAAGCCATGATCTGCTTCTCTGTTCTCAATTTTTCATTTGAATGAAATAATATCTGCATGAATCATGACAGCAGACAAGATAGAGGAGAGCAGGAGGCGGGTTTACCAATCTACTTGCTCTGGAGAGCAGAGTTCGCTGCTTTTAGATGTTGTTGCTAAAGTCTCCAGTAGCAGAAAAAAGTTGCTAGATTTGGCACTTGGCGCTTATTTTAAATAAAAGTGGTAGAGGGGTCTGAAAAGTCATTAAATATAGCAACAGAAGCGTTAAGTTTGCAACACTGCTTTTTGCACCATTTGTTTTCAAATGGTTTGCTGCTTTCTTAAATATCATTATTTCAGGATATAATTATTCAAAGGCACATTTAATCTTGAATAATCATTTTAAATTTCCTTTAGTGATCATTTAAATAAGTACATCCAATTGTTTGTTAAAAAAATATTGGCATGTTCATTTATTTCTTGTTACAATTATTTATTTCAATATATATTTGTGTATTTACTGTTATTTTGAGTTTCCTTAAACAGTAAGATCTAGATGAGTTTAGGGGCTTCCTTTTACACATTCAAGTTTGGATGCAGAGATGCCTTTGGACTGCTGCACGTTAAACTGAATTTATAGCATACATACACACATGCAGACAGACAGATCTTTGTTAGTGTTGCATAAAATCAAACAAAGATATCGGAAGCCATCCCAACTATAAAGAAAAACTTTTGACATATATATTTTAAAGGTCTCATACATCTTATGTGTGATAAGATGGGTGATATTTCACAGACACTCAACTGGACTGTAAAACCACCTCACTGATCAAAAGGGCACAAAAGCGTATGTACTTCCTGAGGAGGATGAGGAGAGCCCCCCCCATCCTCCCCACCTTCTACAGAAGCACCATAGAGAGCGTTCTGACCAGCTGTCTCACTGTGTGGTGTGGAGGCTGAAGCGCCTCAGACTGGAAAAAGGTTAGAAGAGTGGTGAGAACAGCAGAGAAGATAATCGGGGTTCTCTTCCCTCCATTGAAGACATTTCATCCCAGCGCTGCGTGTCTCAATCCCATAACATCATCAATGACGCCTCACACCCCCCACCATGGACTGTTCTCCCTGCTGCCCTCTGGGAAGAGGCTTCGAAGCATCCGATGCAGGTCCAGCAGATTCAACACGTTTCATCCCAACTGCCATTAGACTGCTGAATTTTTTTTTATATAAAATAGGTTATAACTCTACCCCCCCAAAAAAAAACCTGAATGTTGGAACTGTAACTATACAGTTTTTTTACATCACTTTTTTTTTTACCAAAGTGTTTTTTTATTTACAGTGTTTTTATCACTGCTGTTTACCTTTATCAAGGCTGCAATGTAAAAAATGAAAAAGTCTAGAGAGCTGTACTAAACAAAATTTCTTTTTGTATACACTTGTGTGTAAAATAAATAAATAAATAAATAAAATCTGCAAGTCTGTCCAAGTCTTATTGTAGTATATAAAAGTGTCTTTAGGGACCACCTACAATCTCAAATCTATTTTTTCCTTCCATGTCTTAAAGGTATAGTGGAGGATGTTCTTTTTCTGCGTGGATCATCAAAATAAGTGGTCCTCCTAACTTTCAATCATTCTGGTGATATGTTTATGTAAGGCCGCCCCATGTGCTCGTCCCCATTTTTACTTAGCGGTGGTGGGTCTGACGTAGTGGAACATTTTTAATCCTTGGAAAGTAAGCTTGTATGAGCGATGCAAACAGCAACTTTTAAGCAGAGCGTGCACGAGGAGATGGGTTTGTGCGTTCTTTCGCACACGTTTAATAGGCTTTTCCTCTGGGGAGTGGGCACAGGGTTGTGCATGTACATTTTTATTTTAAAGTGGAGAGGATGGGTCTTTTCAAAAATTCACAAAAATCCTCCAATATACCTTTGAGTTGATCAATCACTTTAAATTCCAAAATACACCCACATTTGTGATTGTAAAACAATTAATAACAGCACAAAACAATCTGATTTAGCTTCGAATGGGACTTTTATTTTTTTTCACACTTGCAAGACATCAAACAGATGAAACACTTAAGGATTGGGGATTTGTCTCTCAAAAAGTAAAACAGAACATGAACCTGTTGAAAGCAGACTTTAAAATACAGTTTCCACAAAAGGCAGAAACATCAAACACTTTCACAAATTCAGTTTTAGGCCTAGTTTGTTTGGTTTTTTTTCCTAAAAAATCCCAAGTAAATAAATGTGAGAGATGTAGAGAAACTCGGAGCACTTTTAAGAACATGGATTCATGAAACCAGAAACACATGCTCAACCTAACAGATAACAGATTTTTTTTTCAATGACATCATCAGAGTCAACTTTTACTTCAATAAAAAAAAAAAAAAAAAAAACGCTTTTAATGGAATTAGACAGTTAAAGTGTTTTAAACGTAATTCTCAAAAGATGAAAGAATGAAAGAACAAACAGCATTAAAGAAAGTGCAGAGCGTCATCAGTAAAAAAAAAAAACAAAGACAACTTTCCCTTTAGTTCCTTTTCATCAACTGTCATTAAAACATACTTTACACACTGATATATGAAAGCCTGTTTAAAAAAATACTCAGAACAGACAAGGTATGAGCAAATTTTTTGGCTGTAAATGTAAGTATGCAATCCTTAAAATTCACCGACAGAGATTAAACAGTAAAAGCACAGACAGATGGAGACACCGGAGTTCAATTCTACTGGGAATACTGGAGTACCTGCCATCAGTCTGAAGGAGTAATGTGGTATTTAAAAGGATCTCTTACTGCACTTAAGCAAAACAAAATATGTACAAATCTAATTCCTGAATAGGCACTTAAGTTCAAAACAGTTCAGCCAGCCCCTTTAATCTATGATGGCAACAAATTGCAAAGACTTCACCGTTGCTTTATTTATTTTTTTGGTTCTTTTTATGTTTTTTCTTTAAGAAACTTCAACCAGATGGAAACAGTAAACATTAGCCCTAATAATAACTATAAAAATCCCATCACAGAGACACAAGTATATTCAGAAAATACGCAAGCAGGGAAGATCTGGTTGTGTGGCATAAAGTAAAATCACGTGCTACAGTATGAAAAACAAATCTATCTTTTCTCCTTAGAAGTCTTCATTTCAAAAGTACCATGTGGAAAACCTTCAGTGCTTCTTATTTATCTCATGGTTTCTCACCATGGCAGTAGTGATTCAAAAGCTGCACAATAAATATATATAATATGAGAAAATAATCAGATGTATACTATTGTTGCTGTTAAATAAATAAATCAGTAGTTAAAACGATCTACACTGGTGGAGACTCCTAAAAGTTGCCTCAGTAGTGCTACTTTGATCTTAATGTCAGCATCATTCATTTGGAGTTTTTAATGTTGTACTTGAAGTACTCTCTTTTAAATAATAGAGAGACAGCACAACTAAAAAAAACAAGTGAGATTCATAAGTACAGGCCCTCAGCACCATAATGCCGAGTCCTTGCTAGAAGCCTGGGTAGTGTTTTTAGGTTTAGGCGACTCGTCTATATCCCAACCGAAATGTTTCTGTTTCCTCTTATAAAAAGATGGGTCAAACATGCAGTCAGAATTATGCCGCGAACTTACTGAAGGCTACAAAAAGGGTGTGGCCTTCTCTGCAGCATACAAACAGATATTTAAGAATCTCAGAAGTGGGAACTGTTCGGATCTTATGTTTATTTATGCTAATCCAATTCAAAGGAAGAAAATATGATGGATGTATCATCATATCATCCTGGAAAACAGGTTCAAATCTAGCTTTAAAATCCTAATCCAATGCATAAACTCAGAGGGAGAGTGACTGTAAACCTCTGACACCAGCTGGTCGTACCAAATATCTGGATCGCTCCCATCAAAGGCATCCCGCTTTCTATTCGCTCTGAGAATCCCAACCTTGGATTTAGGAATGGAAAACAAACAGAACGTCTCTGAGAACATATTTATATGATTCGTTTCCGTACCCTAGTGTGAATAATCATCACAAAATCAAATACTTGGATAAATACAAAAAGAAATCATCAGTGGGAGCCTAACCCCAGAGAAGCCGACATTTCCATCTGCTTTAGCGTTAAACCGACACAATGCAGAGAAGATGGGAGCTTTTAGAGACGGCAATAGTACACATGAATCAGTTCACACAGCAGCCACACATTTAGGTCGGCTGTGAGGATTTTAGTACCCTAGTCTACATGTAGTGCCTCAATAATCACAGGATTCTACCAACGTGGTGAGCTGAATCAAGCAGGGCTCATATTGGAAAAGGTGACGTTGATTTCAGGCTGCTTAGACGCAGAGTTGGTCCAGTCAACACCGCAGTATTAGAGGAAAGCAGTTTGATTCATTTTACATGTGAACTACATTTAGTTAGTTAATGTCTTTGTTTTGTTTTTGGAACATCAAACCCCGTCTTACAGTCTGTGCCTGTGAGGATCAGAGCGCGGGGGAGAGGGTGGCGGAGGGAGGGTGACGGTCGTCGGGGGTTCCGCCGGGTCGTCCATCGGCAGGACCAGCCGCGTGCCGCGGATCGTCACCTCGCGCTCCACCAGGTCCAGCTCGCGATCCCGGTTTTCGCCGAAGGGGCCGGCGGCAGAGGGCTTGGGGTTGATGGTGCGTGAGCCGGACGCGTCGGTGCTGACGGTGACGTCTGCGTACAAGGAACTCACGTTGGCGTCGTTCAGGATGAAGTCAGAGTCGTCATCATGGAGCCGGCCTTCATTCTGGGAAGAAAGAAAGAAAAGGGAAGGAGAAGAGAGGAAAAAAAATATCCGATATCAAAAGTCCTGATTAAACCCAAGAAAATCAAAAAATCTTCTCTGGCTTTTCTTAAATTGAAAGAGCTAGTTGGATTAAGAATTTAATTAGGCTTAAATTTAATTCAACATCCATAAAGACCCTAAAATGATCAAAACTGATGTTTTTTGTTTTAGCAGAAGAAATGATTGTTACTTTTTACGGTCTGTAAATTACAGTTATAGATTTCTATCACTTTGAGGAAGTACCTTTACTCCACAGTTTGTTCACTTGTTTATCAGATAATCTGATTAAACCAGTGTAAATCTGATTAAACCAGTGTAAATCCCAGATATATATCTGGTTGGTTTTAAATAAGCTTCTAAACTGTGACCTTTTAAGCTTTATATCAAACCTCATAGGCCTGTGGACTGGTGAGGCATCGTGCCAGAGGGCCACAACATGCTGGCAGAGTGGCAGTGAGAGGCGGTCCGCTGTGGGTCAGGAGGGGCTTCAGGTAGCTGGAGGAAAGCTTTAGTCAAGGAAATAAGTTAGCAGATAGATTACCGTTACACGAAAACCACTTTCCGTGTCTCCATTCATTTATGGTTTCGCAAATATTTCACCAAACAGTGCTTTAAGCATTTATTAATACCTTTGTTATGCTTAACATATCAATTATTTCCAAAAATGTGGAAGATCCAAATTACCTCTGGATGAATAAATCTTTTTTTTAGTGATCCCAAATGTAAACAGACATTTTGATTACTAAAAAAACAAACAAACAGAATGTTGGGAAACTTCTTGCCCCAAATATGTAAAGAAAAATAGGCTATAATAAAAGTCCATCATAAACACATCAAATAGAAACACAAAATGATCCCATCCATTTGAAATAAACACCAATGTAAAGATAGGTAAAAACTTATGCAGTTTGTAAGATCATCTAGTGTTTGAAATGGAGATCAGCACAGGTCATTCACTCGTCAGAAAGCTGATCGGCAGGTTAAAGGATACTTGTGGTCGAAAGTATACCAGATCCTGAAGGGCCAGGCGCTTTCATGTTTGGTGCTTCTCCTCTGGGACCCGTCCAACACAGCTGAACTCTGGGGAGCAGAAAGCAGAACACAGGACTTTAGAGAAAACTTCTTCTGATAAGCCACATCCTCTTAAAACACATCAGCTATGTCTCAGAATGGTCTAGTCAAAGTTCAGGGCTAAAGCCAATGGAGCGTTTTTTTCCCCAGAACTTAACAGAAGCTCCTCCTTCAATCTAACTAGACTGGAATAGTTCACAAATAGGGAGGAAATATCTGTGATGTTTGCTGTGCAAAGCAAAGATGTAGCCTAGAAGATTTAAAGCTGCAGTGAAAGGTGCTTCTGTCACACCATTACCAACAGGGGCAGGAGCACAGGTCCCTTTTAAGGTTTTTATTGGTAAAATAAACAACTAAATATACATACTAAATAAACAACTATATATACATACCAAAAAAGGCCAGAAGATGGCAAAAGTGCATCTATATCTACCACTTTCATGTACAACATTTCTTTTGATATCCAGTTTTGCTGCTAAACATTCCTGGAGCACAGCTTGCAGAAGCAAGTGCCTGGTTCACCTAGCTTCCTGCACCAGCTGCTAAATGGCTTTTTACGTTATTACCTGATGTTCTACTCACCCATATTAGTTTTGTGTAATTTGGAGCTGTTCTGAAGATATTCCGTTAGGTTATATCCAAGTAACGTCTTTCTATGGGCAACGACTTGAAGGCACAAACTAAACCGAGATCATCTGTGGTAGTAGCACTAGACATTTTCCAGGCATGTGAGTGAAACTAGCAGCAGTTCAGCGGACAGGATGAAGGAAAGGTAGCCGGCGCACATGAATGATGTCATACACACTCCGCTTTGTTTAAAAATAATGTTAACATAAAAAATATAACGGCGGATGTCTGGGGGACAGTGATTCGCCTACATGTTATGAATGCTGGCGTATAAAGAATAAATTATGAACAGTTTAGTTAGTGCCTTCAACTCGTTGCCCATAGGAAGACGTTACTTGGATATAACAAAACCAAATATCTATGCAACGGCTCCAAATGACACAAAGTTCATATGGGTGATTAGAACTTGATGTAATAACGTAAAATCAAGGGCCCAATGTAAAAAAAACGGTGTTCCCCTATAATCCCTTTAAATCATGTGACATTTACCTTTTCATGAATCTATCACATTAATCCTGACATGAAAAGATATGCATAAGTTTAACACTAGGTCTCCCAGAATTCTGATCCTTAAAGAACTCCCACTGGCCATCAATTTGAAGGGTGACATTTTTCCCAATGAGTAACGATCATGTCATTAACTGAAAAGCTTCTAGTGTGCCATATAAACCCATTGTCAATATGTAGACCTTAAAACAGGTCTAATATATATTTTTAAAGGCTTTATTATATGCTATCACTTTTTAGTTTAATTTGCATTAAAAATAAATCGGTAAAATAAGACTGTTTTACTGCACAGGTAGCCCTTGCGACCCGCTTGGGATAAACCTGACGGAAAATGGATGGATACTACAAAGGTTGAAAGTTTGAAATTATAATTTTATTTACAGAAATTGTTTGATCCCCCCCCCCCCTCACCCCCGTCAGCTGGTGCAGCGCTGAAGCCAAAGCTGGCGCTTCTGCAGCGGAGGGGTTGGTAACCTGCGGCTCTCTGCAGCGCATGTGTTATCAATATTTTGAAGCATTTCTAAAGCCTGTTTCACCCTCAAGATTTCTACTGAAAGGCATTTTTCCGTATTAGCCAGAGCTCCAGAGATTACTCGGTAGAATGTTGGTTGCTAGGCAACGGTACCAAGTGTCAATCAACCG